GTGTGGGTGACTGGCGGGCAGGGGCGGGGGCCTGGCCAAGGCTTTCCCCTGCGCTCGCGTCTGAGGCGAGCAGGCGGGCGCTAACGGATGTGGGGCCTGGCGGGCAGAGGCTGGGGCGCACAGAGGACCGGATGTGATACAGCCTGACAGGGCTGGGCAAATGGAGCATAGGAGCCTGGTGGCACTCCAGGGAGACAGGCCAGACTCTTTTCCGCCAAACCAACGGTGTCGGCTGATAAGGCCTGGGCAGCCCTCCAGCTGGTCGTTGTAGGCTGGGTGCAACAATAAGGGACAAGTGGGAGCTCATTGAACCAGCAGGCTAATCACCTTGGAGGCAGTGAAGCCTTCCGGTATTGATCCTTCTGACATCACACCTGTACCGCCATGTGCTCTGGTTAGCACTCACGGCTGCCAACCGCGCACCCCGCCTGTGCTTGCTGCTGGCATCGCCTCACCCCGCCGCGTCGCGCAGAGCCGCGCAAGAAGAGCTGGTTCAGCTTTGGCCGCGGCAGCAGCGACGCCCCCGCTGCCGCCGGCGGCACCGGCGCGAGCGGCTCCAGCGCCGAGCGGGCGCCGCTGTTTGGCGGCCTGCGCAGTGAGGAGGGCGCCCGGAGCGGCGGCGGCGGCCTGCTGTCCTCCCTTGTCCGAAACAAGTGCGCGGCGTTGGAAGGACCCCTGCTGCGCCGCAGGCTGCCGCGGGCTATGCTGGAAATGAGAATTCCCCCCGCACCACATGCTTTAGCCGAGTCGGCCGCAACACTTGGGCACGCCTTCGTTGCAGCCGTTTCACCTTCTCCCTTGCTGCGGTTGCGTGCGGCCCGACCGTCGCCAACTGCCGCCAAACGCCACCAACTTCAGGTACAACACCAACAGCAGCCCGGTGGCCAGCCAGGACGCAGAGGACCTGCTGAGCGGTGGCGGCAACCGGGGGTCAACCGCCAGCGGCGGCCGGGCCACCGGCGGCGGCGGCGGCGGGGCGAGCGGGGGCGGCGGCGCGAGCGGATTGGACGGGATCTTTGCTGAGATCGCCCCGGCGCGCCAGGGGCTGCCTGGCAGTGGTGCGGGTGGTGCTCGCAGGGCGCCGCGCGGCTAGATTGCGGCCGTGCGTGTGGTGCTGGCAATGGTTTGGGTTGTTGCACAAGATGCTGTACTCTTTGGAATGCCCAAAGTGTAGGTTTGCGATCTCTGACGTTGGTCAAGCTTCTGAAGTTTCCAGTTGCTGCTCAGACCTGAGTTGCTGAGACATGACGTGACAACATACGACTGACCCAACTCAATCACTACAATTTTTCAGCTCTTCAAACAGACTCGCACGGGCGTTTTCTTGCAGCCTCCAGCACCCGGATCATGGCTGCATTTTGTGCTCCGGAGCAGCCCTGGTGTATGCTTCAGCAGGCTGACACGTCTGTTGCGCTGTGGCAGTAGGAATGGAGGGTAGTTTGTAATGCAACATCTGTAACCAGATTCACCTCAGCCGCTCGGAGTAATCAGCGCGGACCGCTGCGCAGGATCCCTCACATGTGCACCGACTAGCAGCTGGCGCACGGCAGTGGGCAACTTCGCCCTCTCCCAGCACCCCAACCAACCCGTGTCGACTCGGAATTAGACGACACATGTTCATCCTGCACAGGACCAGGCAGCATGGCGCCATGCCTTTCACTCGCCTGCCTGCTTCACCACAGTGCAACCAACTCCCACAAGTCATCGCTCACCGAGCTTGCCTTGCCTTCGTGGTCTCTATATCCCCCAAACCCTCCTATTCTTATGCTTGCGAGTCCCGTTGACATCAATCGTCCTTGTTATTGACCTGTCACCGCTGAAAATCAAACATTGGCAAGGTACAAGGTTGAGCATAAAAGGTACAGGACGTGCGCGTATGAATTGGTATCAATGATGCCAACATACCAGCATACGTATGCTAAGTCACCACCGCCTGGCAGGGTTGACCACTGCCCCAGCAATGGCCAACGGCAGGCCCCATTACCAGCCAAGTGTGTGGACGAGCCTCGGGGCGCATCATGCATCGTTGCAGCAGGGCACCGCAGGCCGCTGTGTAACTTGCTGCGGCCCACGCCACGCAATCCTGCCACCGCCGCTGCACTTCCGGCGCCCTCTACTTCGCGCTACACAATTAAGCGGCTGCCGCCACCGCCTCCGCTTCTGCATCCGCGCTCGCTTCCTCCTCTCCCGCCGCGCTCAGCCGCAGCAGCGCTGCCAGGTCGACGCGCTGCCGAAGCGCGTGCAGCATCGGCTCAAGCACCTGGGTGGCGCGCTGCTGGTCAGCAATGCTTGCCAGCTCTGGCGCCAATGTATCCTCGAACAACAAGCCCTGCAGCCACGCCGACACCTCGGCCGGATCCCCCAGCGCCGCCGCGCGCGCGTCCGCGGCGCTGCCAAGCTGCAACAGCAGCACAAACGCGCCGCGTAGGGCGGCGTTGCCGCCGTCAGCAAGGGCCGCATGCAGCGCGGGGAGCGCGTCAATTGGCAGCAGCTGCGCATCACGCAGCACGACCAGCGCGGAGGGGCACCTGCCCACCACCGGCGAGATCGCTGCGTGCATGGCTGCGCCAGCGGCCTCCCCGCCGCCGCCGCCAGGTGCTGTTGCCGTTGCAGCAAGCTCCACGCCCTCGAGCTGCAGCGCACAGCCGCGCGACACTCCGCGCAGCGCCCCAAGCGCCGCAGCCGCGGCGGCGCAGTCGCCAGCGGTGCCGCATCCGAGCAGCAGCACGGCTGCGTGCTCGCGGGCGCCGTTGGCGCCGCTGCTGCGGCGGAGGCGCTTCGAGATGTCTTCGGCCACGCGCTTCCAGGCGCTCCCTGGCGGCAGCAGCGCAGCAAGGTCCTCCGTGTCCCACGCGCCCGCGTCCTCCCACGAAGCCGTCGACGCCGGTCGGGCGGCCTGCTGCGCCGCAACCCCGCCGCCGTGCGCGGCCACACCGCCAACAGCCGAGCCGCTGGTCGCTTGCTGCGTGCGGTGCCCCGCCTGGAACAGCTCGTGGTAGAACTCCCGCAAGTCGCTCAGCGCCTGCAGCCCCACGGCGCCCACGGCGCGTGCTGCCCCGACCGCCTGACCCCCGGCGGCGCGTGCCGCCGCGGCCGCGCCTGCGCCAGAGGTGCGCGCCGCTGCGACAGCGCCGGCGGCGGCGGCGTCGGCCAACGTGGCCGTATGCGCGCCTGCGGCCTGCACCGCGCCCGCGGCGGCGTGCCAGGCGCGCGTGACGCGCGCGCCGAGGCCGCCAGGGACGGCGGGGTGGCTCTTAACATAGACCCGAGCCCCAATCGCCAGGCCCAGCAGCAGTGCTAGCAGCAGCAGCGTAGGCTGCCGGCTGTTGAGAGCCCCCTTGCTGTTCTTGCCACCGGTGGCCGCTGCGCCGCTGCAGCCTACCAGCGGCCGCCCCGCGGGCTTCTTGGCCTCTGGGATTGTTGCTGAAGCAGGCCTCACTGACGCTTCCGCGGGCGCCGCTGCCGCCGCCACCAGCAAATCACGCAGCGGCGCGGCGGCTGTGACCTCTGTCGGCACGGCCGCGGCTGGGGCTGTGGGCTGTGCAGGCTGCGATGGCGCCGCCGTGTGAGTAGGGGAGGCCAGCGCAGGGCCCGCCCTGCTGGAGGCCGCACCCCTTGTGGGTCTAGGAGATGCCACCTCAACCTTCCGTGCCCCACGCTCTGGAGAGGCGATGCTGGCTCCCCGTGCTGTTGGTGCGTTGCGCGATGCCACAGCAGTCCGCGGCGCGGGCTCCGCAGCCACAGCTGTGGCTCCCTTGGAGGGTGCCGCTTGCTTTGGCGCCGGCGCGGCGCCGGCGGACGCTGGTACAGGTGCGGTCGAGGTCCGCAGCCGCTTCTTGGGCACCTCTGGCGACGAGGACCGCAGGGGCGGCGACACAGGCAGCGCCGCACCTGCCGCTGCCACCCCCAGCACCTTGCGTCTGTTACAGGGGCGAGGCCATGCGACAGCAGGGATTTGCTCTTGATGCTTTCCCCCAATCCATGGTCTCTTTGCGACATGCACACCAGTGCCCTGTGCAGCGCAGATGCAAGTGATTGCTGCAGAAGGTGCGGCACCCGCGGGTGGACGTGTCATTTGGGCGCACCTGGTTTCAGCCTTTTGCTGCTGCTGCTCCTGCCCGCCCAGCTGCTCCACCGGAGGCGCCGCTACGCTCTTTCGCTCCCGCTTTGCAGCTGTTACCCGCGGCTTGGGTGGCGGGCTGGCAGGAGGGGAAGCGAGTTTTGCTCTGGGTGCAGGCTTGGCCTTCGACCCAGCCTTCTCCGTAGCGGGAGGCTCAATAGGAACATTGTCTGACGCGGGCGTGAGTGTCGCGCGTCCACTCCGCGTCGAAACCATTGCCGATCTGTCGCTCAACAACGCCACCAATTCAAATGTTTGAAGGCATTTGTTGGGTTTCTTGATATCACGAGGGCTGATATGCACTGGAAAACCCGTTGGCTGGTCAGAAGTGGTGCAACATACCATGTGATACCGTCATCCCCACAGTCGGGACTGGTCAGCTCGACAGGGCGCGCACCAGCTTCACCTAAGCTGAGGAGCTCGGCTGGGCCACCTACATCGTGGGTGGGCACTGGCCCTGCGGATCAGTGGCCTCTGTCCCCACTGGTGCACGCCTTCATGCGGTGAACGTGAAGAGACGGATCCTGTTGAAAGTGTGCCAGACCACACCGGTACACCTTGTCATTGCACGCAGCTGTGCAGACCACGGCAAACCAGGACGCCACAAGGCATGCAACTGGTTGTTACTGTACTGTCAGGTGCCGCTGGTCACTTTTGGCCAGAACGGCGCATGAAGCAGCAGCACCTGCGGCGGTTTGCGACAATTTGTTATCAGCTGGCTTCTGAGGTTCTGACAGCTCCAACGTCGTTGCCACCGGCCCTGGGGGCAGCGAATCCAGCAGCATGGAGTCACAGATTTTGCACCACTGCACAGCACTCCCTTGACACGCTCTTGAAACGGCTATTCAAGAAATGGTGCTGTTACGAGTTGAAGTGTGCATTGTGACGCTGCCTGCCCGACGAAAACACATTGAACTCCTACTGCTTCAAGGCGGTGCTGTCCGCTGCTAGTGCACTGGCACTTGTTGGCCAGCCACCACTGCTGGAGATCTCACAAGAACCATGACCTCCTGCACAATGTGCTGCTTGCATCACTGCTGGCGCCCAGCGGTAGCACGAGCATGCTTCAACCTGCCCAGTGTTCACAGTTTCAGACAGGCAGTCCTGCAACGCACATGGCTGCCTTCAGCTCAGGAAACGCAAGCGTGTGCGCTGTGCGTGCTTTGTCAACCAGGCACTGCATGTTTGCGGCCCATTTTGCAGACCAGCAGCTCTCCGATGGTTGTGCGCAACCAGTTGATGCGGGGGAGCGTTGCCTCCACTCTGACCCTGCCCCAACCTGCTTCAGGCACACATGGCATATGCGGGGCCAAGCCAATAGCATGCAGTTTGGTCAGTGATGGGAATGGGCGTCACCTTCGGTGCAAGGGACTGCAGCCCTCTCTTGCATTGAATATGCTGTGTTTTGCCTTGGACTTTCTGCAGTGCGGTCCTGTGCGAGCGCAGCTGCTTGCAGTACAGTGCGAAGTTTGTACCCGTGAATCCACACATCAGTTTACGGGAGACCCCTGCTGATGCTTGACTCCTGCACCTACTGCACTACGCCGTTTTTACTTGGGAGGCATGTGTGGAGGCCAAGTATCCTGAAAAGAGGGCGCAACAGGTGCAGTTCTAGTTGCAGTGGTGCACAAACTTCCTGTCGAGGTCAGCTGCTACCGAGTGGTTCCACTCCGCCGTTTGGATTCGCGGCCCCCATGCTGTACGGTATCAAATCTGTGATTGTGCTACCTGTTCTATTGTATGCGGTCATTTTCCTCGCGCTAAAACTCGCTGATCTACACGAGCAGCCCTTGACGCAGATAATTGTGAGACGCCCGTCGATCTCGGCTGGCTTAATGTGTTAGGGCTGACACGTCGATGGCTGTGCAGGAGCACGGCGTGGAGCCCAGCAGCAGTGGCAGCGACGACGCTGCTGCGCTGCGCGCCCTGCTGCAGTCGTTCATACCGCCGCGCAAGCGCGAGGATGTGACTGGTGGCGATGATATCTTTTCAAAACTGGGGCTTTCGCGCTATCGAGACGCTGCGCTCAATCTCCAGGGCAGAGGCCTTTACTCAAAGCTGCAGACGGCGGTCGTGCCCTTGCTGTACGACCCGCCAGGGTGCGCGTTGGCACCTGCGCGTCTGACAACTTGGGACACTTTTGTGGTCTGGCATGCTGCAAGGGCAAGGGCTCATGCATCCGCATGCGCAATCGTATAAAGTACGCCCCAAAAGAAGCCCTTCAACTGTGATGAAATCCCGGCAACCTGCCCTCCTCTGCACCAGGCCCCCATGCGATTGGCAACTTGGGACCCTCCCTGGCCCTGGCAGCAGCATCCCCCCGCCACCACCCACTGCCCAGCAGCCCAACCCTGACATGCTTGCAGCGGCCCTGACCCTGCCGCCAGGCAGCTACATCTTACCGGAGGTGGGCGTCAGGCACTGGCCTGCCTTTGCAGCAGTTTGCAGCCCTGCGTCGAGCTGTGCGCAGGCCTGGGGGAGCGCGAGCGGGCTTGAAGCTACGTTGTTGATTGTTTGGCAGCCACCATGCGCTGAGGTCATAAAAAATCCTGCCGCACACCTTGCAAATTGCAAACCCTGGATGCTCGCAGGCTGCCAAAGGACGCCGAGTGCCGCCCCGACAATGACCGGCCCATCACCCAAGCGCCAGCAGCCTTCTGTTGCTGGCCTTTTGTAGTGCAGTCATGTGTCATGTTGGGTTCCGGCTTTGTAAATATGTAAATTGTGTTACTTGCGTCGGATTTTTTGTGCAGCAGTTGTGCCTTGAAGATACCAGTCACAATCAGCAGACCAGGGATCCATTGTGACAAAGGTCCACGCACGGTGCCGCGCTTCCTTGAGGCAACAACAACAGAACAGACATGTAGCAGAGTCTTATACTCCACCCAAAAATATCTGTTTTGCAATCATGTTTTGCAACAATCACCATGCGAAGCTTGAGGTCACGCTCTTGCCCGTTCCTGTTGGGCTCCCCCACTTCCCAACCAAGATACGATGCCCGTTTGCTTGGAGGTGACTGGTCCTGATCCAATATTATAGAACCATGCAGGCGGGTGCCGGTTGCTGTTGCCATCTATGATAAATCATCCTATCACCTTCGCGACGGATTCGGTCGAAACCGCCCGCGGCCCCATCTCAACCAGGATACATCAAGCAACGCAGTAGGTGACAGATTAACGACTTCCAAAAGTCCCGTATGGCAAGAGCGGTGCGCCCGCCCGTGGGCGTCACGTACGGCGGAGCAGCAGCACTGGCTTTGGCTGGAGTGCTGCTGGCGGCGATGGCGTCAACAGCTTCTGCGGCAGGTACGGCCACAACCACAGTACGCTGTGTAGGCTGAAACATTCTCTTGTGTGAATGTTGTGCTTGCATGCTTGTGCGCGCGCACACGCCAACACACACACGCATGTGCACGCGCACAAGCGCACATGTCCATGCACGTTTGTGCGCTTGTGCGTGCGTGCGTGCGTGCGTGCGTGCGGCATGCGTCCGCGCGCGTGCACGCACGCGCGCGCACACAC